TTATGCGTCCTCTCTCTCTCTCTCTCCTTGTTTAAGGCTCAAGGTGGTGGGAAGACTTTATGTCCGAACTGCCGAGCTGAAGACTCCACAGAACAGTGCCGGACTCTAGCCAAAAAAGGTCCAATGCCATGCTCGCTACCACCTAAAACAACCACCGCCGTATTTTCCAGAAAACGTCAAATGATGCTTTGACGCCTCCCAGACACTTATACACTCACTTCTTTGCAGTAATTTCCTCGCTCTATCACAAAATCTGCAAGGTATCAATAAATTTTACCCTTGACGGGTACATATTGCAATTCTCTTCTATAGAAGGAACACTCGACGCTGTCGAAAGAACATTGGGTATATGCCCAAGTATATAACCTTATCTAACCTAACCTAACCTAACCTAACATAACCAAACCAAACCTACCTCTATTTTTTCAACATCTTTTTTTTAACTAGCATACTTTGTATTATATTATCTGGCACAAACTGCTCCAAAATGATTAAGAACCAAATTATATGATATCAAATATATTTATGTTTAATGGAATAAATGACTTTTTTTATAAAGTTTTATCTCTGTTTACAAAAATTATAGATAATTAATGTTTTGTAAATATCAAACTTAGATATTTACGACTAATTGCTTTTAACAAAGCGACCATATGTATGTTTAAGTTTTTAAAAAAATTATGATCATTTCTATGTTATACTGCGTCTGGTACTTTTATATATTATGGAAGTTAAGCTTAAACATTTTTGCTCATTGATTTTAATTGCTCATTTGTATTAATTGATTGCAAGGAAATTAATATATTATTGGTAATAATTCAAGCAATAAATTTTGAAAGAAAAACTTAGTCGTTGAAGTCTGCTACCATTGGCAGAATAAAGAATTTTATATAAAGAGTGCAACTGGTATATCTAAATTTCTTTTCTGTGATATTTTGTAATGTTCTATGCATTAGATGGCGTTGTAACGTATCTAAATAATTATTCTTATAATTATTGTACTATGACGGGAAATATTTAATTTCGATTCAGAGCCTCTGCATATGTCGCTTTGATGATACCTTGTTTTTTTATATTTTTTGAGGTGGGTGGAACATCGTAAATACCTTGTCTTATGTCTGATATGTGGGATTCCCTCACTACCGCCAAAATGGCTGTCGAGCTTACCACATGTGACACGCTCAACCGCAATCTCAGCCGGAGCGAGAACCTACCCACTAAAACCCCTCCGTCCTTTCAACCACGCTAGTGATCCGCGAGTGCAGTACGGGATTCGCCCTGGTGGCGGCATATCTTCAGTACTATATCCGCCTCACGTCTCGGTAAATATTGCTTCACCGCTGGACTTGACACAAAAAACTTTTTTTATGACTACAACACTCTTTTTTCAGTCTCCTTAAAGACTCAATAAAAACTGGATAAGAGCGACGCAAGATAGACGGGGTTAGAAACATGAGGAAGAGGCCTATGTTTAGCAGTGGACTCTTGAGGCTGGATGATGATGTGATACAGTGTCGACCAAACTGCAGCAAGGTCATCTCTTTGTAACCGCTTTCTTGAACCTGAAGGGGTATAAGCAGAAACACCTATGGCTTGTGAGAACCTGCGACAGAAAATAATCTAAACGCCAATATCCACATTCGAGCCACGTCTTAACCTTTGGTATAAGTAACTTAGTCCACTATGCCACAGTCACAGTTGCCTTTAATTCGGTTTGCCACATCTGTATAGATGGGGCTCTCTCTTTAAGTTTTGCACTCTCAGTCACACCCGTATTACGAGCACTATGAAATAAACGGGCATTCTCGCATGCCAAGATGTGAGAGGTCATGCAGCCGGTGGTGACCCACAAAGCTGCAAAAACATTTCTATAGGCGCTTGCTATGCGCAACAGGCTTGTTGTTCTGTCTGTTTGTGTTAAAAGTCTTTGGTAGGATGATATATCTATCCCTCTACTCCAGACTTGTAAGATCCAACTCCAGAAAAAAAAGATAATCAAACTTGTGAGATCCAGCGTCGCATAGGCTTGGGATGGGCAGCATTTGGCAAGATGCGAGATATTCTTAAAGCAACGCTACCGATTTGCTTGAAGAAAAAGGTTTACAACCATTGCATACTGCCAGTAATAACATATAGTTCCAAAACAATAACTTTAACCAAACATTTTGCAAATAAATTGAGAGTAACCCAAAGAAAAATGGAAAGAGCAATGTTGGGAATAACTAGAAGATATATGATACCAAACAGGATAGTTAGAGAGAGGACTAAAGTGACAGATGTCATAGAAAAAATTGGACAAGCCAAATGAAGATGGGCTGGACATATAGCACGTTTAAATGATAATAGGTGGACCAAAAGACTCATAGAATGGAGACCTAGAGAAGACAAAAGATACCGAGGCAGACCACCAAAAAGATGAATGGACGACTTGAGAAAAACAGTCGGAAATTAAATACAGAAGGCGCAAGATAGACAACAGTGGAAGAACATGGAGGAGACCTATATCCAACAGTGGATGCAAGAGGTTGAGGAATGATGATGACTCCAGACTGGGCTGCATAAAGAACGATAGATTGCACTACTTCGTGCAGAGCCCTTCTCCTTTTAGGTTTGGACCCGTCAATGTTGGGCATTATCCCCCAATGCAGCCGTGCAGCCGCTCTCTGCATGGCTGTGCGCGTCACCTTCCGCAAATGCTCGCCTACTCCTATTGGTGCGGAGGTTACTCCCAAGTACCCAACGCACTTGTTTGGATTAATATCCGCACCACCGTACTCAAATATAACATTCTCGCGTTTCCGTGGTCCCTTGACGATCACGGCTTCGGTCTTCTCCTCAACGAGTTTCAGACCGCCCTGACTCATTCAATCTTTTGCAAGGTCACATGCACCCCGGGCTTTGTATAGAAGTTCTTCCGTGTTCCGTGTTCCGTGTCACATCCGCAAATGTGAAGGGGGTGACCTCCTCACCGTATTTAAGGCGCAAAACCCCATCATATGCTAGGTTCCATAGCTTTGAGCCAAGCACGGACCCCTGTGGCACCTCAGCCGTAACATCACACCGTAACAATCACACCCTTCTTAACCAGGATTCTTCTCTCATCACTATTCCTTGCCAGAGTATAAGAATTTGATCGACATAATATGTTCGTCCCTTCTTAAATAAAAATTTGAATCAGAAGCTAATTTATCTCGTTCTCTTCTTTCTGCTGTCGTTTTCAAATTATCAAAGCAAATATGCTTCAAAATACTTATAAATCTATCCCGGTTTAGAGATGCTTTATCTATAGGACGCGTAAATGCATTATTTGTATTGGACCATAAATTATGCAACTTCTCATGGGACTCTCTGAACCTTCCACATAATATAAGTATACTAAAAAAAGCACGCAGTTCGACTAGATCAACTTCAATCCAATCCTTCATTTTTTTCTCGTTCTTACTGTTATACGCAGCTATAAACTCAATAGCTCTCTTATTGGTATACTCAAGAATCATTGACATTATACTATCAGAAAAAAATAAATTGAAGGCATCCAAGCATGTCTCAATATTTTGACTTTTCTTAATTAGACCTACGTTTTTCTGTATAAATTACATGCCAATGTCTTACTCTTTTTTTGGAGCTAAATAACGCCATGTTCGTCCTTAGCACAAAACATCAGATACGCTAGATCTTTCACTATCTATATTTTCAGAAGTTGTCGCTAAAACTTCCTCATTCTCGAGTTCAGTAATTGATAAATTAACTTTATGTGCTTCTAGCTCACAACCGTCATTATCACTCGCTTCACTATCGTTTTCATCTCTTCATTACAGCTTTCTTCACTATCTGATAGGAGTAAGGCATACAACTCAGCTTCACTCAAAGGTTTATTCTTTTTCCACATTTTGATATAATACTGCACACTTCAAGATCGATGCTTGAATTAAATTGATCAACAAACGTGAAATATTGCTTTACACCAAAGTTAGACCTCTCGTCTCGGACGTTCCCATAGAATATGCCTATTAGACACTACATTACTCCCAAGGTTAACTTCTATCTGCTAATATTTCTACAAACATAATCATTTTGCCTTGAATACGTTTACTGGAAAACAGAGACGGCTGCGTTTTACGTGTACCTACAAACACATTGAAAAAATCTTCAAAATCCGAAGACCGGGTCAGGACTGACCCGACATCATAGATTTTACGTAGAGGAAAAACTGCAATTTGCATGTTCACGAATGATACACGAAAAAATAGATTGAAACAAATAAGGAGAACTTACGAACAATCAGATTTGTAAAAAAATTATTTCATGAAATATTAAGAAATAAGTGAATTTCGGGTCACGCTTGACCCAGTCTTCGTACTCCGAAGGTTAAATAAAAATTCGAATCAGAAGATTCTAATTTGAATGACTTCACATTGAAATAGTTATAGTTACCTACCTAATTGTATTTATCTTTGTATAATAAATTTTTTGTATTCCTTATAATATTATTTTTCATTCATAATTTCTTCCTTTTTTTTACAGTCTTACATGAAAAATATTCAAAGTACAAGGCAATTTCTTTATTTATCAAAATAGGGTTCCGCCAAAAAAATATATCGTCAATTAAGGTTTCGGCACCAAAAAAAAAATGGAAAACCCTGGATTAGTACTTATTATTTCAGAGCAAAGCTACAAGTTTTGTTTTTCGACCTATTTGTATAATATTATTTAAACTTTAAATTAGTTAAATCTCCCTCTATCTTTTTTATCTGAAAAGTAACGTCGGAAAGTAAAGTGAAAATGATAAGCAATGAATAATATCACATTCTTGTATTCTTATTATTTTTTTAGGCTGATTTAAATCAAACAAGTCTCATTAGAATGCCACTGAGACATATATATTTATATTTATTATAATAAACAAAAAAATATTGTGTTTTCGGATATGCTTCAAGGATGCGACTATAAATGAGTTTGCACAAGTGGTACATTATCGATATTTGATATAGGAATATAAATTGATTTCTAAATGCGGTCAACAATAAAAAAATCACTTAGAATTTATTATCAAAAACTATTGATCCTTAACCTACTGTCAACTTTAACTAATTCATTTTAAGACATTTCAATACATTAGCAGTAGCAATACACGGACCGACATTTTACAAGGTGTATATAATAATGACCGAAAATGACCAAACGCCCTTACTACCGACGTCACGCCTAATATGGAATCCAATTCCTTATCTAAAGAAATTAAGAGATCCTCATGGATATTTTACCTTTCAGCATTTACAGGTAATTGATTTTATATTACATATTTTATTTTTGTTATTATCTTAAATGTAATAATTGTAATATCTGTCTTAATATAACAAATCTTTATCTATGTATCGTTTTAAAGTTATAAGCAAGAAAAGTAGAAAAAAATCGATATTTTTAGTAATTTTAAAACATTTTAATTTTTTATTAATATTTACGACCTATTTAAGAGAGAGGAAAAGGTTATTATTATTACTGAACTTATCACACCACTTTTTCTGCAATAACCAGAATATCATCTCAAACATACAATTTAAAACAGATCCTCTCTTGTGTATTAGGTGATCTTATCTTCTTTTTCTTCTTCTTTTTATGTTGATATGACTCTGACTGTTTTTTGATGTGCCTCCAGTAAGTTGTCATTCCATCGTTTTCGTGATCTTCGTATTGATCGTCTTCCTATTGGGCAACTGTCTCTTGCCGCCTTTAGTAATCTAATTGTTGTCATTAAACTTGTATAATTGGTCCATTATACTCTTCTATTTATTACCCAGTTCATTACGATCTTCACCTTTCATCTACATCGTATATCTGTACTTCTAGCTCTGTCCCATAGTGTCCTACCATCAATTTTTCTAAGTGTCTTCATCTCTGCTGTTTCTATCATTATTTTTGTCCCGTCTGTGTTAGGTCATGTTTCTCTCGCATATATCATTATTGGTCTGATGACTATTTTATAAATTCTGCCTTTTATTTCATCCTTAATATTTTTATTTCCTCATACTGTTTTATTTAGGCAACCTGCAGTTCTCTTTGTTTTATTCACTTGATCTTTTCCTTTAGTTTCGAACTTTCCCTAGCTAGATAATGCTTAGGTGCCTAGATATTTAAACTCCATCACTTTTTCTATTATCTGACCTTCCAGCTCCAATTTACCAATGTTAATAAATTTGTTGTTGTAACCAAGCATTTTGTCTTTTTTGGGGAAAGTAACATGTTGAATTTTCTGGCGGTTATATTACATTGGTGCAACATACGTTGTAAATCATCTTCATTTTGAGTGAACAGTATTGTGTCGTCTGCATAGCAGATACGTTGTTTTTTTACCATTAAGTATCCTTTTTTAATTCTTATTTTATATATTATTTCACAGATAGTCAGGTTAAACAATAAAATACTAACGTTCTTTAATTTGACCCAGTCAAATGCCTTTTTAAGGTTCACTAAACATTGATAAGCTGGTTTGCTGTATTGAAATGATTTTTTTGAACTTATTTTATTATAAATATATCTTCGGTGTATGACCTTCTCAATCTAAAACCTTGTTGTTATTCTGCTATACCTAGTTATAAATGCATTCAGTTTATTCGTTATCACTTTGGAAATTAATTTTAGTATAGACGAATGCCGGATGTGTCTTCTTTTTTGAAGAGAGTATTAATATGATTCATCTCCATTCTTGGGGAATTTCTCTTGAGTTCTATTATTTTTTGGATTCGTTTTATTATTTGTTTGGTCAGATCTGGTTTTCCGCAGTTCCTTTGGTTTTCTGTCCGCTCCTGGTAATTATCTATTTTTTAACTTACTTAATGCTTCCTTTACCCCCTCCTCTCAATATTAATTTCTTCGTTTGACGTCACCTATGGTGAAAGTAGTTCACCCCTGTTTCCATCTAAATGTGTTTTATTTTTATTAGTTCGTTCATTTTTTTTCTTCGACCTCTGATCATCCTCCATATTTCTTTTTATGTTCCGTAGAAGTCGTAGTTGTATTACTGCTGTGATTGTTATATTCTGTATTGTAAAAAGATTTTCTTTTTTTATTCACATTTTATTATGGCTTTTTCCCAAAAACATGGTGCGTTCTTTTTTGATTAATTAAGTGATTCTCTTTCTGTGTTAATTATGTTATTTTCTCCAAGCTTTTCTCGATGTTATCGTTTTCTAATATTTTACTTCCAGTGATTTTTTTTATATTATTTTTCTGTATAAATATTTTGTAGATTTCGTGGATGGTCCTTCGACTTTGATTTTGTTTGTGTTGGCACTGCTCTCTTGGGTAAGGGGTAGTTCAGGATGATTTTTATTTTACTTAATACTAGGCTATAGTCTAGCTACATCCGCTGAGTTGATAAATCTTACGTCATTTATTTTCGATGAATGTATATTTCTATTGGTTATAAAATAATCTATCATAAATCTATGTCCACGGGTGCTATTGAATGTATATTTGTGTTGGTCTTTGTAGTCGAATAATTTGTTATTTATCCTATTTTATTTACTCGTGCAGAACTTTATGATCAATTCTCCATTTTTGCTTTTACCATTCTCGCTATGCTTTTGCTTAATTACTGGTATTACTTGATTGCATATTCGAGCTTTAAAATCCCTCAATATTATCATCTTCTCTCTGATTTGATCTACTACTTGTAATTTGTCATAAAACGTTTTACTTGTTGTTAGATGTTTATTATTTTCTGGGCTGTATACTCCGATGATTCCAGGTCTTCCTTTTTCATTCTTACATCCATAAAAATTGGAAGATGTTCATTATATCTATTGGTTTTTGGTGCACTCAAGTTGCTTTGCGGTCGTCAGTTAGTGAATATGTCTATAGAGATAAACATCACACTGCCTTTTTTCCGAGAACATTTAGATTTTTTACATCGATGGTTCATTTTGCAAAACTTTTATTTCATGGTCAAATTAGATTTTTTAATTAATTAAAAATAAGTAATTATGTGGAAAAAATAAATATATATAGCACTTTCATTATCTATTTGTTATATTTATAAAATTATTATTGGATTTTTCCAAAAAGGTGAAAATTTTGCTATAAATAAAATGAATTAATTTCTTAAACCCGGATCTAATTTTTGTTTAGTTTAAATAAATTGCTTGATAAGGTAGTAGAAGTGTTATGTTTGACCATAAATTAAGACATATGAAACTTATCGTTTAAAAGTTATGATGACGAGATATTTTAGTCAAAATTCACAACTCACCCTGTATATTAATAAACAATGAAAGCAAACACTTTGTAATGGTGATTTGTTCTTCCCATAGGTGCCTTAATATGAGATAAGAGTATGTATAGTTCTTCCTGGCTCATTCTGTATACATTTATTTAAAGCATACATAAAGGAATAACTAATTACTATTTAACTGGGAATTAAATGCTTATTCTTAAATATTGTGTGGCTTATTCCCAGTTAAATAATAATTAATTTAAAATGCCACAAGAAAATAGCTTCACAAAAATATAAAGGAATAACATTGGAAACTTTCTTCAGTACCTCCGGGGACATTCCACCGCAATCCTTTGCTGCTGATTCAGTGACGGAACGTTTGTATAGGTTAGTTTTCTTTGTGTCTTATGGTTGTTCTCTTTGAAACTCGTTGTTAAATCCATCGTACTTTGGACAATTTAGTGATATCATGCACAAACGAAACAATAGTTTATTTTTACTATCAATAAACACATATGTCCTCATTTTAATTAATTTCTTAATGTAAAATGTAAGTTTATGAGGTAATAGTCGTGTGTGATTTACAGTTTGACACTATATACGGAGCACGGTTGAAATAGTTATGCGTTAGAGCGTCATTATGGTCTGTAGTTCTTCGAAACTTGTGGCAAATATTACAATGTCATTAGCGTATCTCAAATGACTCAAATTTCTTCTCTTTACATTTATTTCTTGATCTATCTGTCTTACAGCTGTCCCGCCTTCCTACTTTCAGCCAATATCTCTAGTCCTTTCTGTTCTCCCATTCTGCATCTCTAAGTTCTCGTCTTTCCATGGCCTCGTCAACTTCATCTCTCCATTATCTACCTCTTTTTCTGCTTTATATTGGGCTCCAATCTGAAATCTTTACTATCCACCTTGTATGATCTGTTCTTCTCACATGTCCATACCAAATTAAACGTTTTCCGTCGATGTAGCTAAGTATGTCTTGTTCTACTGCCATTCTTTGTTTTATTTATTCATTTTTGATGTTATTTTGATTTGATATTATTTTTTAGCTCATTTAAAGCTCTTTCTATTTCGAATCCCTTTATATTTTCTAGTACTTCTGATCATACTTTTTTTATTTTCCTTTGACTTTCTCATTTGTTGTTTTATTAGGCTGGCTTTGCAAGCTGTACAAGGATGTGTAGAAGTCTTCGACAATATTTGTTATTTTATACTGGTCCTTCTCTTCCTTATTGTTGGCGTCTTTAATTTTAATGATTTTTTAAACTTCCAGTGCGGGTCTTAGACATTTTATGCCTCTGTTGTTTTCAATGACTTACTCTACTAAGTTCTCGTTCCATTTTTGTATGTCGCGTTTTAGTTCTTTTCTAATTGTTTTATTAAGTTCTATATATTCTTGAGTATAGCGTTTGTTTTCCGCTAGTAGTTGTCTTTTTTCCGTCATTAATTGTTTAGTTTCATTGCTTATTTTATCTTTTTTAGTCCTTGTTTTTTTTGTGACCTGTAGTCCGGCTACGAAAAGGTTTTTATTTATGTTTTTATTATTATCGTCAATTTGATCTTGATTATGTGAAGGATCAGATTCGAACTTATCCGCTAAGACCTCTCGGAATTGCTCTTCATTTGTTCTTAGTGTCAAGGCATCTATCCTAGTTGTTTTTTTTTTAAATCCTTTTTCTTTCTTCTTTCATGATAATATTTATTTTTGCTCTAACTATACGATGGTCACTACCCGTTGTTACGTTGTTTATTGTTGTGACGTCTTCACATATTCCTTTATTGTTTGAGAGAAAATAGTCTATTTAATTTTTGGTAGTTCCGTTAGGTGCGACCCATGTCCACTTTCTGTTGGGTTTCTTTTTGTAGAAGGTATTCATAACATACATGCTTTCTTGTTCCAGGAATTTCATGAGTTTTTCTCCTCTTGTGTTTCTTGTGCCGAATCCAAAATTTCCAATCTTGCTTTCAGGGTCTTTAATCTTACTTACAATGTTGGCATTAAGATCTCCCAATATTATTATTTTGGATTCTTTGTTGTCGTTTCTAGCTTTTTTAAGGTCTTTGTAAAAAGGATTTAATTTCTCATCGATTGCTTTTTCAGTTGGATCATAAACTTGCACGATCTTTATTTTAGTTTTTGGACTTAGTTTTAAGATCATGTATGTTTCCCTGCCTGAGATGCTGTTAATTATTTAAATTTGAGATTTTTTCTTCTTGTTGATTAGGAAACCTACTCCACCGTATGTGTAGTCTTCCCTGCCTTTATAATAGAGTCTGTTGCCTGAATGTAAGTCCACATATCCTTCACCTCTTCTTTTAACTTCTGACAGTCCCATTATGTCTCAACTAAAGTTCCCCAATTCCTCTTCTAGTCCGTAGAGTTTTTCATTGTTTGCCATGGAGTGGATGTTGTATGTTGCTATATGGAGTTGTTTGTTCTAACTACAGTTAAAACTAACACAAAGTGTGTTAATATTTAATATTTATATACAGTTGCAAAACTGCAACATGAAAAAAATTTTTTAATTTAATTTTTTTTATAAAAGGTATTTTTAGATTTTTTTATATGTATGTATTCATTATTTTTAGCGGATTTGCTGCTCTTAAGCGTAGGATGCTTGATGGTTTTGCCATCGGCTGTATTAGAGAAAATACAATCAAATGACACAGACATAAACCCATTTGGAGAACCAGTTAAACCCATTGAAGTGTCTATAATGATGGGGTCATCAGGAGTATCTTCAATATTAAGTTTTCTAATAATGGCAAAAATATCAGACAAAATTGGTAGAAAATGGAGTATGGTAGGCCTGGGTATATCATATGCTGGGTGTTTTATAGCTTTAGCCTTTGGAAAAAACATGTATGTTTATATCATAGCTTATTTCGTTAGCGGCTTTGTTTCAGCTGGTATTTTAATAAATGTTTCAATATATAACAGCGAAATTTCCGACGAAGGCAATAGAGCTTGGATTGGCTGTATAGTAGGTATGTCGGTACCAACAGGAAACATTTATGGCTATATATTTAATGCAATTTTCGATAATGTAACGATGTTTTCTTTAATATGCGCATTGCCCTGTGTTCTACATGTATTGTTATCCTATTTTCTTATCGAATCCCCCACATATTTAACCTCCAAAAGACGAAAAGTAGAAGCTTTGGACGCTTTAAGTAAATTAAGAAGATATCAAGATTACAGTGATATTGAAAAGGAATATAAGTCAATAGAAGATTTTAGCTTTACCGGTCACGACAACAAGAAAGTGTCAATATTTAGTATATTTAAACGGCGTATTTCAAGGAAAGCTGTACTAATTGGAATATTAATATTTGCAGCACAACAATTTTCTGGATCTCCAATTATTTTAGCATACTTAGTCCCTATTTTTAATGAAGCAAAAACGGTGTTGTCTGGAAACACGGTCAGTATTATATACGGATCATTACAATTTGGTGTGTGTCTAGTAGCTACTTTTACTGTAAACCGGTTTGGAAGAAGACCTTTAATCTTAATCTCGACACTGGGATGTGCCTTTTCAATGATATTTTTGGCTGCTTATTTTTATATAAAAGATTATAAGGTCACATCTATAGAACATATACGTTGGTTGCCCATTGTATGTATCGTTTTCTTTGTCTTATCATATGGTTTTGGTTTGGGCCCAATTCCCAACGTTTTCATAGGAGAATTATTTCGTAACGAACAAAGAGCAATGGGAGTGGCCATTATTACTATTATTTTCTCTTTAGTGTCGGCTGGTAATAATTTTACTTATCCTGTGTTTAAAGATTTTGCTGGAGAATACCTAAGCTTGGCACTATATGGAATAATAACGTTCATATCATTATTTTTATTATTTAAGTATTTACCGGAAACGCGGGGAAAATCTTTTGTAGAAATTCAAGAGATTCTTAGTAAATAAGTTTTATTTGTGATGTAATTTTTTATCCTTTTATATAAAATAGTTATTTATAGAGAATATAATATTAGGTATATTTGAATAAAATATAATTTTTTAAGATGTTTTTGTTTTATTTGAAGACTAATTCCTAATACAGCTTTATAATCAAAATGGCAGGTGTGAAGAAACCTAGATTTCACGCCACCAGAACCAGAGTAGCCCAAGTGACACAAATCAAAACTAGAGATATGGGCCAAAATAGTTTGGTGAAATTTTCGATTTAATGCAGAAAATTAAGTAAATATTAAACATATTGCTTAGTTCGCAGCATAATACTTTAAAAAATACTAAGATTGTAATCGGCTATAGCCTGATGTTAATTTTGTAAGTATTTGTAATTTTTAAAAGCAGGACCACTTTAGCATTGGCTATTTGAGACAAACATGTCAATAAAAGTAAGAATAATAGGCCATCGGGTATAAAAACAATCCATCCCATAGAAATAAATTAATGTAATATACCAGAAATGAATGTAATATACCAGAGATGATGACTTTTCTACGAAATGAAAAAGGAGATATGTTGGCATCTTTTTGCGCAGAAAAGCAATTAGTAATAACGAACACAATTTTCAAACTTCCAAAACGTCGTTTTTACACCTGGAAATCACCAGCAACTACACCTGAACGAGTTGTTCGTAACCAAATAGACTTCGTATGTATAAATAACAGATACAGAAATTCAGTATTAGCAGTAAAAACATATCCAAGCGCAGATGTACCAACAGATCACAATATTTTAGTAGGAAAAATAAGACTGAGATTAAAAAGAGTTACTATTGATAGAGAAACGATGCTAAATGATACTGTAAAACAAGAAATAAACAGTATATTAGAAGAAAAAATGAAGATAACATCAATCAAAGAAAAAATACTGAGGAAAACTGGACGAGAATTAAAGACATCTTAAAGACTGTTCAAGAAACAAAATTGAGTGCGCTAAAAGCAAGAAAAAAAAAGGGTGGATGACAGAAGAAATACTGAGACTTATGGATCAAAAAAGACAAGTCAGAAATAAAGATAAAAACGAATACAAGAGGATCCACACAATAATCAGCCAGAAGATAAGACACGCGAAAACACAATTTCATAGTAAAGAATGTAATGAAATTGAACAATATGAAAAGAAACACGATACATTTTATCTGCATAAGAAATTAAAAGAGGTCGCTGGAAACAAACGGAAACAAGTATTCCAAAGTTTAGACGACAAAAACGGACACATAATATTAGACATCAATGAAAAGTTAAAATAATGGGAAAACTACATTTCTGAATTATTTGAAGATGAGAGAGTAGAACACTATACACCGATTGCTATATCAAGTCCATCTATAACAGAAGGTGAGGTAAGACGTTCAATACAAACGGCAAAAAATGAAAAACCACTTGGCCCCGATGAAGTAAGTGCTGAAATACTAAAGTTTTTGAGAAAAAATGGAATTAAAGCTTTGTGTAATCTGTTTAACAGAATTTATGACACTGGGATATTATCAACTGATTGGTTAAAGTCGACATTTTTCACAATACCTAAGAAACATCGCCCAAAGACATGCGGTGATTATCGGACAATAAGTCTGATGAGTCACGTTTTGAAGATCTTCCTGTGAATAATACACAGCAGAATTTACACGCTGTTAGAGGACAGAATTAGCAATACTCAATTTGGGTTTAGGAGTGGCTTGGGAACAAAAGAAGCCTTGTAATAAACAGGTGCTAGTACAGAGATGCAAAGATATAAATCAAAATGTGTACATTTGTGCAATCGATTGTGAAATAGCTTTTGACAAAGTTCGACATAAAAAAATGCTAGAAATATTGGAAAAGCATACTGGCATCAAGTGGCAAGAATAAAGGTTGAACAAGAACTGTCGGATAAATTAAATATAAAATGAGGAGTGAGACAAAGCTGTATATTGTTGCCTTTACTTTTTAACTTATATTCGGAGAAAATATTTAAGGAAGCCTTAATGAAGACAACCGAAGGTATTATTGTGAATGGAGTAACCGTCAACAATATTAGATATACCGACGATACCTTAGTCCTTGCCAATTGCGGAGATCTTCGAAATCTAATGAACAAAATAAGACAGACTTGTGATCAGTATGGATTAAAACTCAACGTTAAGAAAACTAAATATATGATAGTTAGCAAACAAAATTATATACAGGATGACGGTATAAAAGTCGGAGATGCCACACTGGACAGAGTAGAGAAACTCGTGTATCTCGGCAGTAATATCAATGAGAGCTGGGATCCAACCGCAGAAATTAATATTAATTGCGCATTAAAAAAGTTTGACAAAACGAAGATCCACTATATGATGGAATTATGCTGGATCAAACAGATACCAGAGAAACAACCTCCCCCCCTTTTAGTTAAGAAAAGATTTTAAGTTAAAAAAAGAATACACATCGCTAATAAAACATATAATGGATTGACTAAACATTTAACAACATCACAAGAAAAACCAAATACAAACTATACAAGACTCTGATAAAACCGATCCTTGTATATGGATCAGAGACATGGATACTGTTGAAAAGCGATGAGAACCTATTAGGTACATTTGAACGAAAAATCCTTAGACATATATATATATATATATATATATATATATATATATAGGGGGTAAAATGTATATAAGGGGGTAAAGGAAAATGACATATGGCGCGGAAGATATAACTTTGAACTTTACACAGTATACAATGAACCCTAGATTATAACATCCATTAAGATCGACCTACTGATGATGATGATGATGACTCTTTTTGTAATAAATAATTCTAACATAATATATTATTTTATTTACTTCGTGTATATGTGATGTGAGTTCTTAGATACTTGTTTGAGTAAAAAAATCACGTTAAGTAAAGTCAATAAATCATTTTTTTATATACTCATTAGTTACCATTTATATGCACCTATCATTGAAACATACTTTGTTGAAATATGATTGTATAAACAACTTACAATGATTTTTAATTAAAATTCTTGGATAAGTTGCTGTTCTAAGTCGACCTAAATCAGGACCTGTAATTTTAACAACAATGCTATACTTAAATAAAAGTAAAAAGCTAAGAAAAATTTATAAAATTTGGATTAAGAAAACTACAAAAAATACTAAAACTGATGAAGTGAAAAATAAAAAAAAAATTTAAACCGCTTTCCTCTAAACTAAGCAAAAGTAAGTTACAATGTTTTTTATATCAAGTGTCGCTTTGGAACAACACTCTAACACTAACCAAATAAAACAAAAAAAGATCTTTCATAGTATAGTTAACAATATCACCCAAACGAGAGCTGAACTATTACCAATGACAACAACAAATAATTATCTATAAATTACAAGAGAGGATAAAATAGAAACAGAGGAAACATGAACGAATGAAAGTAGAATGTTCAATAAAAAAAAGGAAAAAAAGGCAACCCTTCAGTGGTACAAGCATGTACAAAGAAAGCCAGAAGAAGACGAATAGAAATAGAGTGCTATAGAGGATGAAAATGTAAAACTTATAATTGAAAAAAGCACAAGAAGAGTTTTAAATGGCACCACAATAATATTAATAAATATTAATTGTCATAATATCTGAGTATAATTTAGTTCTAAGATGATGAGACTATGTACTATTAAGAGATAATTTTACTTACATGGCGCTCAACCTTTCACATTGAAATTTAGGAAGTGACTGGTGCATTGCGCAATAAATCTGTCTTTTGTTAAGAAAAATGGCGATCCCAAAATTACGCAAACGGACCCAACGCGATCTGACATACATTTTTTTAACCCAAGTTTATGACGGTTTGACATCAAAATAGAAAAAAGACATTTTTTTTGTAGAAATATATCCAAAAAAAGATTTTTTTTGTCATATTGATTTCACAGCGACGATGTAACGAATTAAGATGTCTCTTGTTGATTTTTTCTTTTAAAACTCTCCTATTCTTGACTTATAGGTATTATTAGGATGATTAGATATTATTTTTATGAAGATTTTTGATGTTATTTTAAAATACGATACTGCTCAAACATAATATTGTATTTCATGACCAGTTAGTGCCTGACATTTTTAATTGCAGATGTCACAAAATATATTGCTATACCGCTGTGCCTGTCTAATTCACGTTACTATAAATTTTTAGATTACTTAGATAAATCACAAGCAATGGGTCTAATATTTTTAATTTACCTATTTCTTAACAAACTCCCAATTAAATCCGAAAAGTTTATATATCGCCAGTGAAAACAGATTTAAATAAAAAGTTTATCGAAGGTATAATTTTAAAATCAGATGTTATAGTAATTAAAAAAGTCTGTTTTAATCTCATAGAATATAGACAGCATGACAAGGCATGGAATCTGATTCATAATGTTTACTTGAAATAATTTTGTCTATATCAGATGACATCCAACTATCTATCCAGAGACGTGCATTTAAAAGGTCATATAAATACATAAAACTCCTTATTAATTAATAAAAATGTCACAAAATTTTGGTCATTTATGGGATTAGTCGCCTTATATGGGTAACTCTAAGTGATTGTATGGAAAAATATACATGTGTACAACGTATAAGTTGTGCAGTTTTTATTTCATCCAACAATTTTTATTGATTAACAATTATGCCAGTGATTTGTTTTTAGAGTGACCATTTGTTATTAGGGGAGAGTGGTCCACAGTGAGACATGTTCCACAGTGAAACAATGGATTTTCTGAGGACATGTCAAGAGCGCTTTATATGCTATCTCCACCATAAGGTTGTTTCAACACTTAGAGTCTACCCACGATACACAGACTAAAGTCTGAAGTCTGTGTATCGTGGAGTCTACCAGCAAATCTTAGCTTCAGTTCACTTGTTCGTTTTTACGTGTCAGCTGGTAGTGTGATTTTCACTCCCGATAGTAATTAGGTTGTTCCTCACACTCACCGATATTATTCGGTTGTGCATTGAGTTTGTACTTTGGTATTAATGGCCAGTAAAGCTTAGGTATTTTTTACACTTAGAATACTACACGTTAAAAAATATCACACTTTAGTGACATTGTACCTATGAGGTATA